CTTTCCCCCCCTCCCCCCGGTTTTGTTTTCCTTTGTGATACTTGAATTTATTTTTTTATTAATTTTTTTGATAGCAAAGCGCTCTATTTATTTAATGTATACTGCAAAGCTTGGAGAGAAGGGTAGTTACTTGGGGTTTGGGGTTTTTTTTGGGTTTGTTTTTTTTCTTTGATTTGTGGTATGTTAACTGTTCTGTATATACGTCTGGAATAATTGCCTGATATAAAGCTGTGCCAGCTTAAAAACAGGGTATGCCTTTCAGAAATTTGTATATTTTGCAGTTGCTGGACCAATAAAATATCTTGTTGAAATACAGACATGACCTGGTTCTTCCTTGCGTTAGGAATTCTGGTCTCGGGCCCGTCTCGCGTGTGGCTTGGTAGCCCCAAGGGTGACCACGTACCATGCAGTCCCGCCTCGCACGTATGTTCCCGTGCCTCATAAATCCCTCCTGACCCCGCAGTGAGTTTTCTGGGGATCGTCTCCCAAGGGAAACCGTTTGGCTCCCATGGTATGATCCTTTTTTTTTTTTTTCTGACCACGTTACAGCAATTTTGAAGAGCTCATCAGTGGAGTTGAAGGTGTGATTCCTCCAAACAAGTGTTGACACCTACTTAGGGCAAGCAAATACCCCCCAAGCTACATCACTGTCGAGTACAAAGGTGATGTGCTGCAGTATGTCCTGCCCAGATCTTCATCTAGGCTGCGAGTTAAGCAAGCCCAGCCACTTCTTCAAACCTGGCACAGTTCTTGAAACCAAATACTTGCTTAAAATGATTTGGTGCTAAGTGAAGCCGAAGGGCTGGACAAGAGCTGTCCTCCGAGTTCACAGCTGTCTTCGCCCTGAAGGCAGGAAACAGCAGATGCCACCCACAAGCAAAGCTGTAAAATTCCCTGCAAAGTTGTTTCTTTCTTTTTTTTTTTCTTTTTCTTTTTTTTCCTGACTCCAGAGAAAGAGAGGGGGAGGAGGCAGGGAAAGGTGTAATTTGGACGCGATGCTCCAGAGCACATCTTGGGTGGATGCTCCCCATGTGGTTGGAGGCTCTTTCCCCTTGAGCAGTTGTATCTCTGGAAGCTTTTTGGGACCAAAAGGGGGAAAAAGGATGTGGACCACTGTGTATTCAACTCAGCTCTGTGGGCAGCTACCGCTGGCTGATGTGCAACCCTTGCTCTGATCTTCCCCAGGCTTTCAGAGCAGGTTCAGCCTTGCTTTGGGCTGGGGCTTGCTGCGATGCAGCTGGGATGTGCAGGGGCTGTCTGCCTTCTCCTGATTGCTCTGTGCTTTAGGGCCCCTCACCAGAGAGGGGGGTCTCTGATTTTAAGCTTGATTGAGGCATCTGCAATAACTTTTTTTCTAGGTGTGCATGCAGACACGCGAGACTTTAGGGCGACGCTCATCCCTGCAAGCATCCTGGGGGCAGGGCTGACCCATGCTCTCTGGGAAATCCAGAAAAGGCAAGATTTTTTTTTTTTTTAAATTTATTATTATTTTTTTTTAATCTCTAGCAACCCGGCCGTCTCCTTGACCCAAGCAGAGACGAAACGCGCTTGCCTTATTTTAGGGCAGGGAGCGTAGCCTTGCACCCGCTTTGCAGAGAGCTCCGCAAGGATGCGGGGGCTTCGATAACGCCCACAACAGCAGTGCGGCTCCCCTGCCTTCCCCGGGTGGGCAGGGGCTGTTTTGAAGCCCTGATAACCTTGTCCTTGTGGGGGGAGCACAGGGGGAAGGCTTTGCCTCCCGGAGTGTGGCTGTGGGCAGCGCTTTCAAGGCTGCTCTGCAAGAAAACACCCCCTCCGAAAAGCCTTTTCTCCTCTTTCTGCGTGCAGGGGGCACGATGGGGCTTGTATCATGCCATCCACGCGGGAGAGCTGTGCAAGGAAGGGGGTTCATGAGCCACCGCCATCCCAGGCAGCATCCTTTATTTTTCTTCCATGTGATGCATTTTGTAGCACCACAGAGAGGAGACGTTCCTCAAGGCAGGGCGGCTTTAAAGGTTATACTTGATAACGGGAACATTTCCCTGCTCCCAGTCAAGTCCCATTTTCATTAAAAAAAAAAAAAAAAATAAAAAAGGACAGACCAGTCACGCTGGCTGACTCAGCTCCGATTGATGGCTCAGGAATGTGTCTGATACGTGCAAGGGATTAAATAAACCACGGGCAAACCTTTACAATGCAACATGTTGGATGAAGCGCAGCCAGCACCCTGCTCACCTGCCTCTGGCTGGGGAGTGACAGCCATCACGTCATGGGGTTTGAGGGGTTTTTTTTGTTTATTTTTCCACCTGCAAGAAAAAATAAAAAGAAATGGATATTTGGCGGGGTTGCTTTGCAGGGGAAAACAACTTGCTGCTTGTGGCTCTAATGGGAATTATTTGCAACAGCTCTGGGTATCTAAATGCATTTGTGCACTTTTGCTACAACACAGACGTCCTGGGAAGGCATATACTTCTACTGAAATATGGAAAGTTTATTTTGCAGCTGTGCACAGACCTGTGTAAATCACATTCTCGCTGGTCCGTGCCTAAACCCTGCTAAATGTCAGGGTCCCTTCCCCGTCCCCAGGCTGGGCTCAGAGCCCGGGCTAAGGGAAGGCTGCATGGATGTGAATATTTGACCCTTGCATTTCTCTTGCTCGTGTGTGTACCTGTGTTCTCTCTCCTCCCCGACACTGAGGGGTGTGATGGGGCAGCACCAGGCTCCTCTCCCCGAGCTGCCCCCTCCCTGGGTGTGAAACAGCCCCTTCCCACGAGCGGTCAGGCTCAGTGTGGGTCTGGGGGGGTGCAAACTCGCTCCCGGCAATTTCATGGCCCCAGTAAAACCCTTCTGTGGCGGCTCCTGCTGCGGAGCCTAAGCCCTTCTCCTCCCACCTCACCCCTGCCCATTGAGGGGTCCCTGGGCCCTGGCACTGCATGTCTCTGCCGGCCTCCCCAGTCAAGTGGGCAAGGGTCCCACGCTGGTCCCATCCTTCAGCTTGCCTGCCTTCAAGGGAGTCACCACTAGCTGCTGGCTCCCCTTCTTCCCACCTGCCCATCGTGGCACTGAGAGCCTCTTCCACCCCTGGCCATGTGCGCCTTTGTTTTTCACCAGGCAATGTCCCACTAGCAGTAGATGGGAAGACCTACCACGCTGAAGTCCTGCTCTTTCCAAAAACCACACAGACTTAGAGTGTTTTTTGAAAACCTCTCTGAATTTAAAAGGCCAACTAAAAGAGGACTCATCTAGAAGGAAAGGAAGGGGACAACAGTAGCCATGCCATCAGCAACAGCCATCCAGTCTGCAGCTGGGCCTGCTCAGATGCTTCTAAGCCCTATGAGTTGGTCCTGCTGGAGAAACCTCCATCTGCAGCCCCTCTGTTACCCTCCTGACCACTGCAGAGCATCCTCCCAGCCCTGCTTCCCACCCTGTGCAGCAATGAGGAGCAGCCATCAGAGCTGTTTGGAAACATTTCTGCCTTTGAGCTGCTGCTCAGAAATAGCTGGCCAGTGCCATACCTTGTGACGGCCCCTTCCAACTTCCTGGATAAATATACAGAGGGTTTTTTTTTTTTCCCCAGACAACAGGTCACTTGAGAAATCAGATTGTGTCATTTCCCCAGCCATGTGCTTTTCCTTTCTAATCTCTTTCCTCTTGGGGTATGACCTGGTCGCTGTGGACGATCTGGCCTCCATTTGCAGAGCTGCTGTTGTCCGCAGCCATGGCAGGACTCGGGGGAGACCTTAAAGGTTTGGTCTGGGCATGGCCTTCTGCTGGGAGTGCTTCTGGGAAGGAACTGGATAGAAAAAGTGAATTGAAACTG